ACATTATTCACACCATGTTCTTCAAATGCATGGAATAAACAAACTTGGAAATAGACGAGATCATCTGAATTTCAACATCTTGTATACAAAATAAAAGAAAGCAAATTTCAGAAAAAAAGGAGTGTGTCATAGATTCACAGCTATTTCTATTCTTCTCAAAACTCCAGGAGCATAATTACTGCCTCCACCTTTCTACTTAGCTGGAAACTGAAGGTATCTGACAAAGTTTGGTTTGGGCATCTACAAAAAATTACCTTACTGCAATTTCCCACTGTACATAACTTGATATCAGCATGACTTTGGCTTGTTTTTCAGATACCTCAGAGCAGCATTTAACAATGTAACAGACTGGACAAGACTGTTTCCAAATATACTTAGAAAATGCTGTTTAATGTAAATGGCAGAATTGCAGGAAAAACAAACAAACAAACAATCAAAAACAAACAAACAAACAAAAAAACATTTCAACAAGAACAAAGTGTCCAAATATGTTTACTTTTCCTCACCCCAAGATATGAAAAAAATTCTGAATTCCTAGGAATTCTCTTCTTATGGTCCTAGAAAAATTGCTCGGCCAGGAAATTTTTTTCTTTTTTTCTTTTTTTTTCTATAAGGAAAGCTTGAACAACTTTTGCTTTTTCAGAGATTAAATTTTAAACATTTTTTATGGCCTTAAGATTGTTTGGTTTACACTGGAGAAATAAAATGAATATTGAAACTTTGGCACTGAAAATAGTGACTTCTCACCTGATCTGGTACCTGAGATAATTTATCTGAGCCTATTATTTTACTTTCTTTGGCATGCTTCTTAGATTGCACAAAATTAATTATTCCAGAGCATACTTGCAGTATCTTCTTCTAGACAGTAAAGTAGGCACTTCCCTAAGGAACATGTTTTCCATTTCAGGGCCTCAAAATCACCATCAGTCACACATTAACACCCATGTGGAGAAGTAATTCCACAGATTCCAAGAGAAATGAGCATGTTTGCATAGATCAACCACATTCTTAATTACAGTATTTCCAACACATTCATTATCCAAAATAACAATAATGAGGTGCCTGAACAAATTACCTGGGTATGAACATTAAGGAAAACTTGTTAACTTATTGATGATTCAACAATAAAACCAGTCAAGCCTATCTGAATCTAGTTTGGTGTGAAGCCTGGCTTTTGGGAAAGTATTGTAAATGTTCCAAATTATTGAATTCTCATCACTATGTTAGAGGAACAGTATCAATCAGTACAAAGCCATTGCTATGCCCAAGAGAAGTGAATTAATATTTTTTGTTTGATGGATTGATGGTATGGGAATACCTTTGTCAGTTTGTCTTAGCTTCAGCTGGAATTGAATTGTTTTCTTCAGAGTGTCTGCTATGATGCTATGTTTTGGTTTAGGAGAAAAACAATGTTGATAATACAGCATTTTTACAGTTGTGTTTATAGTTGCTGCTCAGCAGCGCTGTACAGGGCCAAAGCCATTCCCAACTAAGGGCCCGAGGAGCTGAGGGGGAACAGAATTAGGACAGCTGACTTAAACTGGCCAAAGGGGTATTTCATTCCATATAACATCAAATTGAAACAGTGGGGGTGGGATTTCATCTATCTCTCTTCTGCTTCTCGTGGTCTAGCCAGGCATTGGTCAGGGGATGATGAGCAGTGCTTGTGCATCACTTATTATATACATTCATAGATACATATACATATACAATCATAACTATTTTCTTTTCCTATTCTTTATCTTAGTCAAAAGTTTCATCTCAATCCATGAGTTCTACTTTATCCTCTTGGATTCTCTCCCCATCTAACTGGGAAGGTGGGGAGTGACCAAACGACTGTGTGGTGCTCAGCCTCCTGCTGGGTTAAACCACAACAAAGGTTCTTCAAACTACGACAATCTCAGCATTCTGCATCAAAATAAGCCATATGAAACTCTGCTTTCCCCTCATCCCGAATAAGGAAGAATACAAATTGACTAAATTGGTTTGCAAGGAATATTTTCTTTTTGTGATGCAATGAGAGTAAGAATGGGTCTAACTTCAAAGCTAGTGCAAAGATACTTATTCACAAACTCAAATTGAGTGGAAAAATCAGCAGAAAAAAAAAATCTGTGTTCACTCCTCCAATGATTTAGACATCTTCTCAGTTGTGTATCTATTAGATTACGTTAGACAAATGAACAGCTTAGTTTTATATATCTGAGTCCATATTAAGTTTAAATGAAAGGCAATATGATTATTAAAACTAAATTTAATTGTTTGAAAGCTTCAGTTTGATCCCCTTTTTATCACAGTATCTTTTTTTTTTTTTTTTTTTTTTTTTTTTTTTGTGAATTTTTCAACTTTTTTTAATTTGAGGGATTCACTTTGTGAAATAAAGTAATATGGATAGATAATAAATATATATTAAACTGACCTCCTAACATTCATACAAATTAACCACATTGACATACAGCTGCTATATGGACAGTAAATAATGAGATCCTGTTTCAAAATATTTTCTTGAAAACAATTGTTTCTATTAATATTTAAGCTTTTGGCAAAAAATACAGCAACAACACATATACCACTTTTACTATGTAACATTCTCATAAAACATGGATGAGCACTTCAGTTTCGATAAGACAGCATGCATAGGTATTTACTGCATTAAGGTACTAGAAGATCAAGGAACAAAGATAAAACCATGTTCAGAAAGATAAGAAAGATGCTGAATAAAACATAAAAACCAGCAAAAATAAACAGATTTTTAAAAAGAGCATTAGTATTGCCCTATATAGTTTTCAGATGTTACTGAAAATACTGATTTTTCTCTCATTCAATTTTTTACCTCCACATTTTTATCCTAATTTTATCTAGTCTTAATGCATTTCCAAATCAGACATATAAAAAAGCACTCCCAAGCAAGCAAACAGAAGGAATCAGATCAAAGACAATAAAGCATGACAGATAAACGCAGAACTAGCTCATAATCACAAACATAAGAAAACAATCTACTTTCATCAGGTTGCATGGTCTATGAATGTAGGGAATGATGATACTAGTATGAAATTAAAGTACTGTAGGAGGCTTGAAAAAAGCAGACATAAAACTCCCATTTTACCTGAATATATACAGCTACTATATATACTCTGTTAGGAGTGATGTACAATAGAAATAGAGCAATACAGAAAGTAACAATTCTGCAAAAAGAGAGATTTCAGTATGATATGATGTTTTTTCGTAATGAAAACACTGCAGAAAAAGAATGCCCACTTTCTGAGAGATAAATAACAAATCTACTTCAAGTGATTAATTTGAATTAGTTTTTGCACCTTAATTTTTAGTTAATGACAATTCTCATTTTCAAGTAGAGTTTCCTCCAGAATCAATTAAAAAGAGTGCATCTTCTCAAGAGAGATATATTATATTTTACTTTCTCAGAACCACTGTGTTTCCTTGGTTTCACAGAATTGTAGGGGTTGGAAGGGACCTCTAGAGATCATCGTGTCCAACCCCCATATGATATGGTATGATATAAACAAACACATCAATCACAACCCTTTTAATGCAAAAGTTACCCTTTCTTCCTTAACAGAATGCATACTTGGAAATCTAAATTACATTAAAGAGTCAGATAAATGGGATATTCAGAAAGAATAGGGTAAAGCTAAATCCTTTATTTTCCTTATTTTTCCTTCTCCTTATGAGTATGGTATGTTTTAGGCATTGTTTTTGGCACTTCATTCACTTTCTGGTGTTGAATAGCATGCCACTTGAGACAGTTTAAGGCCTGAGTGAAGGAATAATATAGCAAATTACTCTTGCTAAAATCATACACTTGAATGAGCCCCATGGCTAAATCATCAAAATTGAACTGAAGTATGGTTCAGTCTTTGCCGATTTTTGGAAAAACACTATAAATAAAAAAAGGAATTATGTCTTCATGATTGATAATGGTGAATTTACTGCAGAAAAGTAGCAGGGCACTAAAATTCTTTGGTAATCAATCTGGATAAACAAACTTACGAGTTGAGTAATAAATCATCAATAAGAAACAGTGGAGGAATTTTGCTTTCTACCTCGTTAGGCTGTAAGTTCTAATTCATCTGTCTTTTTGTTTGTGATCATGAACTGTACTTTTGAAAATATTTGATATTTGTGAACATTATGATATTTAATAATTACACACTGAAATGTGTACAAAGTTTTTAACAAGGCAGTGCTAAACAAATAGTATAGAAACAGTTGTGATTCCATAGGTTGCTCCAGCTAATTCAAGCTTCAGTATAAAACAAACTTTAAAAAGTCTAGAACCTCAAAAAGAAAGACTAATCATCAAAGATAGAAATAAACCTGGAATGTATCAAAAAGAAAAGGTAGTGAACCTAACAACTGAAAATGAAGGCTTGAAATGCATTAAAAAAAGATAGGAAAGGGAAGCAAAACAGAGCTGCATGGATATTTAAAACTGATCTGAGAATAGAAATGACAATGAGGATTAAAGAAATGCAGACAGGAAAATAGAGCTAGCCTTTTTATGGGCTCACAATGTTCTCTGTACTCTTGCTTGCAATTACACACCAGGGTGGCAATCAGTCATCAGGAACATCCAAAAAATGGTATCTACTGTGATGAAAGATATTTCCCTATATGATGAGCTTTTTCCACAATCCAGAAGTCATTTCTTTTATACCAACAGAATTCAAATATATATCACACTAGTGTATAAGCATAGTGAGACCTACAAAACTTAAGGATGACAGTTCAATGGCAGTTAAATAAAAATCAGAGGAAGGGGATGTGACAAGCAGGAAAGTTTAAGCTCATTTTAAATATGAGATATATTAATGTTTATTTCAAACACTGGTCTGAATATATTGGAGTAATATTCAACAAATGGAAGTCTATGGAGAAGCCATGTACTCTGTCTTCCTTACTCTAAGGTGAGAGGCAAATCTAACTGAGACTGAATCTCAAAAATAATTTACCTCTTCTTGCTGTTTCCCCTTAGCTCTTACCTTCCAGATTCAAACGTGAACCATGTTGAGTCCCGTCCATATCTCCTCAAAGAACTCAGAGGCCACATGACCAGCTTGACCTTGGCATTGTGGATGTCCCAGAGATAGATGTTTTCATGTGTGATCTGCATTGTACATTCCCCATAGATATCTAAATTTGGTGTAGGCATAAGATATACATTGAATCGCTCTGAAAAACAAAAGCAGAATAAGGCATAGCCACTTTATAATTTCTTCTTTTTCTTTTTTTTTCAATAAAATAAAGTCTAGCTACTAAAGTTTTAGAAATGAAGGTCAAATTTCTAGTCTGTGAACAGTGATGAGGATTCTCTGATGCCCAAGAAGCACTGTCACGGGCATGAGAAGGATAAGAGGGGAATCATCGTTTCATTTTCAGAAGAACTATTACAACACACTGAAACATCTTTCACAGATGATCATCATATACCCCCAGCAACATAGCTGTAATCGTTATCCAAGGTTCATGTAAGGTCCAACAAATCAAAATTTGCTATTACCTAGAATAGAGACTCTATGAAAGAACAGAACTACAGACTGAAGCCTGTTAATAACTACTTTCTTTGTGTTTAGTTTCTGTTTATTTGCCAAATTCAATACAATTCATGGTATCCTTAATAATTTGTTGCTTTCTTGAAAAATCTTGAATACATTATTATGGCATTGATGCCAATTGCTATCAGCTGCCCTTCTACTTTGCAGTGCACTCATTGCAATAAAAAGTCAAGAGCATGAACAATTTTCTAAAGTGCCTGAATTGCATGTGAATTAATAAGCAAATGAACAACTATCATAACAGGAAAAAAAAAAAAAAAAAAAAAAAAAAAAGGGTAAACCACAATAATAGCAAGAGAATTTTAAATAAAAATCTAATTTGTTTTGAAGAAAGCTAATATTTCTATGGTTTAGCCCTACAAAGAGATGAAAGCAGTTAAATTTCAGGTTGTACATTTGCAAGTGCTGGAGTGTTTTTTAACTCTAAAGACACCAAAATCTTAGGGCTCAGTAGCATAGAATGGGAGAGAGCAGATGTTTCACAACTTCTTCTAGCAATGTCCTTTCATCTTTGAAACAGGTTAGAAATGTGGAATGTCAGTGGTGTTACACTAAAAGATGTTGACGAAAAAAGTAAAAGCATGAAATCTTGTACAAATAGGACTAGAAAAATGCACTTTAAAGGGACACCTGTTAGAAAATCTCTCTCTTGCTACTTAATAAATGAATGGCAGTTTGTTTACAGAATATTTTCAATTCACTATCTACATAGAATTTTCTTGTGTTTAATTTTTAAGAGTACGATGGAATTTAAAGTAATCAAAATAGGTATAAAGTGAAAAAATTACAAAAGGCAAAATCAGATGCTGCTTCCAGTTTGTCAATACCTCCAAAATTATTTCTCCATTTTTACAGTGTTTGCTATACGTACTTTTCTGTGAAATCAGTGAAAATGCACCAAATAGTTGAGATGATATAAAATATATTGAAGGTGAATGAGTATGGGCATATCAATAAAGCTACAAAAGTTTGGCTGAAAAATTAATAGAACTGCTGACTGGGCACTTAGATTTGCTGTCCTGCATTGCTATAAGCAAACAGGCCATTCTCAATGTAATTGTGTTCCAGCTAATTTAATTTTCTCCCATCGATGACTCCCATATTGATTTGTTCCATCTCATAGCCATTCATCCTCTTCTTCCAGACTCACGTTCCCATTAATTACATTAATGGGTCTTAGCCCTATAAGTCGTATTTTATGAATAAGGTATCGAGTGAAAAATTTCCATTGTTTTGCACAAGTCTTCTGATACAGAGTAAAAACACATTAGTACATGCTGTTGAAATTGCTACAAAGAACTTTCCCTAACTCTCAGAAGAAGGTATTGAGCATGGGTTGAATCTAACATCTGCTGAATGAAAAACCCTCACACAGAATTGAGAGCCAGTGATTGCAATGGGAAGGGAATGGTGGAAAATCAGATCACTCAATTTATTATGAAATTATATATTTGCCCTTTTTCAGCATTTAAATGCTGCTGTGCTACACCACACAAAATTGTCTACGAGATATAGAAATGTGATTTTGTCATATATTAGACTCCAGTTTTGCACTACCACACTGTTGCTTCCTGTTCCTTCTCTGTTTGAAAGATAGGTATGACTGGTGTATCAGCTGATTCACTCCACCTTTCCTTTACATCAACTGAAATCACACAGTGCGTGGGCGAGAATGGCACTATTATATGAGGTGAAATCTTTCCCTTAACATCACTGATAGAATGCCTGAGACAGAAGAGAAAACGGAAAGGTACAATTACTTTCTGAAGTAGACATTATACAATTGTGTTGAAGACATCGAATATTTCAAGCTCCTTTAGAAGCCACCAGAACTCTCACAAAATGCTGTACTGCTCTGAAGTGTAAGAGGATATTGCATGAAGGGTATTGAGGACATATAATATCCTCAAACTGTCAAGAGACATTTGTTGACTTTGCAGTGGAGGTCACTGTCTGAGGTGAGGTGTCATGGATTAAAGAAAGTGTGGCTGATTGAACTGAACATCAGCTTCAGGGCAAAATGTAGGACCATTGGTACTTAAACTGGCAAGAAAAGAATGTGTACAAGAGTACTTTTGAAACTAAAACTTAGTAATACTTTCATGTAGCAGAAAAATGAAGACATCAGATGGTGCGAATAGTATTAAATGATTTCTGTAATTAAAATGTAGAGTCTATTTTATCCATTTGAACAGGTTTCCAGATAATGGCAATTATATCATTCTGGATGTAGAGAGAAGCTTTTCCTTTAAACTCGTATCAGCACGAACATTCAAAGGTTATATTTGGAATGTCTGGACTCAGTCCCACATGAATTCAGTTTTCAGATTTTCTGATTCACATGAAATAAGATATTTAGCCTCTCTGTGGATCAGTCATCATCTATGTATCATTGGGATGAGATGATAACAGTCCATTGACTAGTAAGACTAAGTAAACAAAAGTTAATGAATGCTTTAGAAAACAGGGAGGTGGAAGATGATGCTATCCTTTGGGACAAGGCAAGACTGAGGCTGAGCAAGCACAGTTTATCAGCATCGACAGTATAATCCTTCTCCCATTAAAATACCTAAGGTTCAGGGAGTAGGGAAGACAGTATGAGCGAAAATGCTGACATTTTGCCATACTTACTTTAATGTTTTGACTGGAAACCCTAATGACCTTGTTCTAATCATTTTATCACTGGATTCCTTTGCCTAAATCATCTCAGTTAGAAAGCTCGGCAGATAACATTGAAATCCTGTAACACACAGGCCCCATTTCATTTCGACTTTAACATGAGGGAAGAGGTGCTTATGGAAGGAGGCAGTCAGATTGGTGTAATCCAAACAAGAGGAGGCTTTGAAAACAAACATTCAATTGGGCTGAGGTGAATGGGGTGAGGTTCAACAAGGCCAAGTGTTGGGTCCTGCACTTTGGGCACAACAACCCCATGCAGTGTTGTAGGGTTGGGGATGAGTGGCTGGATGAGTGTGAGGAAGAGAAGGACCTGGGGGTGTTGGTTGATGCTCGGCTGAACATGAGCCGACAGTGTGCTCAGGTGGCCAAGAGGGCCAATGGCATCCTGGCCTGCATTAGAAATAGTGTGGCCAGCAGGAGCAGGGAGGTGATCAGCCCTGTGTACTCAGCACTGGTGAGACACCACTCTACATGTACCTTCTCTTTCCCTGTCAGTAGCTTTAGAAACTTAAGCAATATGAAGGGCATGTGTAAGAATCATGGCATAAAAGATTACTTATAGTCATTGTTATTAGAGTTCAGCTGAGTCCAGACTTTCTTTTCCGGAGTTGTTACTGCATATTATTATTTGTCCTATCATTGTACATACAGCTGCACTCCTACTAAGTTCATTATTTAAGTGAGATCATGTAGTCTTCACTGCATTTGATTTAATTCTATATTATCATTCTTAATAAAATAATCTAAATAGATATTCACAAACAGTAAGAAACTACATTTGCTGCAGGAAAAAAGAAAATAAAAAATTAAACAGGACCAAGGTTGTTGTTTTAGGGATGAGAAACACAGAAAAATCCCATGAATTAGCAGGAAACAAATAGGTATAATAAAAAGCCTCAGAAAGCAGGGAGGTGAGAGATGATGTTATCCTGCAAGACTGAGGCTGAGTAGTCACAATCAGCATCAGCATTACAATCCTCCTCTCTCTAGAATAATTAAAGTTCAGGGATGTAAAATTGTTGGATAGTGAAAGAAGCTTCACTTAGATCTCAATTTTATTAGAAAATTGGTATCACTGCAAACTAACCAGCCATTGGTTTTGAGCCATGGATATAAAAATAAAACAACATAGGGGTCATTTTATGCAGTGCAGTTTACACGGTCATGCTTGTGGTAATATGTGAAGGAATAACAGAGCTGAAACAGTGAGAAGCTCTCTGATACTGATGTGTTTTGCACAAGTATCACTTAGAATTCTTCTCTGTTCTTCCCACAGTAATATCTAGAATTGTCTCCTCTAAGCAGTGGATATCTATAATCTGGCTTTTGTAACTTCCATCACCACAGAACTGTTTGGTGCTAGAGGGTCAAGCAACGATGCAGTCCTGCAGTCCCAGTAAAAGAGATCTCACTGGTACCTAATGAACAACCTGAAATTATACAAGAATTAATCTGTTTCAGTCACTGTGCTGCAATGTATTTTTCTCCCAGGTGACAGAAATATGTAAACAATGTGTGGCCATCCACCCATGACAACTGTACACTAAACACCAATTTTGCCAGTCCTTGAAACAAACTGTTTTATAAGCCACACTTTTGCATCTGTCACCAGAAAATAAATAAATAAATAAATAAAATCACCTTAGGGGAGCTACAAGAATGTACAGAAGGACAAACAAGCTTAGATGTAACTTTTTAGGGACATGGTTTAGTGGTTTGATGGTAGGTGATGGTTGGACTAGATGACCTTAGAGGTTTTTTCCAACCTTAATGATTCTATGTTTCTATGAAAAAGAGATGTTAGACAAATCACAATAAACTCATGATTTATTGCAAACCTTGCAAAGTAAATTGGAGGGCCATGTACTTAGTTTTAGCAACTAAAACAGAAATCTACACAACAGAAAACATACTCTTTTCTCTAGAGATAGCCAAGTTACTCAATCTTTTCACTGAATACCCTTAGGAGGTCCTGCTACATATTATGCAAATGTCCTATAAAGGACAGGAATGGGTAAGTACTTGGACAGATGAAGAACAGAGTATATTAAAAATAACATTGCTAGCACAAAGTCAAGTAGTTATGAAACAAAACCACTTCCCTTGGTTAGCTCTTCTCTGATCCAAGAAGTATCAGATTGCAAACACTTCAAAAAATTTTTAAGGCAAAGAAGCCATTTAAGAAAGACAGTGGGATGGGATTAACACCTACTCTGTTGGAATTAATGATGTTAACACCCTGTCATATCATAGAGATATAAGCGGTACATTATAACACTATTATTCAATTGCTTTTAGCCCTTAAAATGTCAAAGAAAATCTAAAACTGTAAACCTACTGATACTGTAGTCTCACAGAGAATGCAATCTGTGAACTTGGTATACTTGGGCAGATGAAGAACATAACGTATTAAAAATATTAGGACGAAGCAAACTATATGCAGAACACATATGAATAAAAATGAGGAAATTGTGCAAGAAAATACACTTGACATTTTTATTAGAGTTCACCAAATGATTCCACCCTCCTATTAGCCACTTTTTTTTATAAAATTGTCATGCAGAGAGCAACACTGAAGTTTGTAGAATAAGATAACTACAACGAGCTGAAGTCACTGTTCCAGTTGACTAGCTGTACCCAAGGAATCCCTAACAAAAGCTCCTACAGCACCCAAGTGGGAAAAAAAAAAAAAAAAAAAAAAAAAAAAAAAAAAGACTTCTTCCCATATTTTCCTTTCAAATTGATTAAAAGACACTTCCAAATCAGAATTTACTTTACATCCAGAACAAGACAACTAAGGAGACAATGTAGAATTTCAAATACGCTTATTAAAAAGCTGAGTTGTGGATCAAGAGGATGAGAGATGGAAGCAGATAGGTATCTAACGTAACTAACATAACTAATGGTTTAGTAGAGCTCCTCAAATATTGGATGATATGTGTACAAACACTGGAGTAATGAAAATACGGTTAATTATGCCCTCCATGCATTCTTATTCACGTGAGCAGAAAAAATACATGCTTTGCCTCTTTGTTTTCTTTCATTGACTTACACAGAACAGTGAAGATGCTAATTATGTTCATATATGCTGGTTGGGAGTACTGCAATTAATTCTACACTGAAGGAATTGAATCAAGTCTAGTTTACACAATAGAACTAATCTATGTCTTTTGGAGGTCATGTGTATAGATGAATCTTTCCCTTCAAAGGACAAGATGGAATAGAGTATTTACTATCCAGGTCTGAAAGCTGCTAGACACTACATGATTTCACTGCAGAAACAGCTTACGGATTTTCAAGCTATTTTCCTGCTCACACTAGAGACTCTTCACGAAATTTATTTCCCTGCTAATTCATGAGCTAACTTCACCTGCTCACATAGTTCCCTCTTCAATGGTATGCATGTAAGTCCTACACCGATAGCCTACAAGCGTACAGCAGGTAAGACACTTTGAGTGGTATCTGATCATTATCACTTTCCTACAACATTAGTAGCTTTTCCTTCTATACTTGCATGACAGCTTGAGATAAGTGGAAAGTTAAAACAAGACACAAATTAAATGCCGAGTCACAGTGTGGAAACAATTTCACAAACATTTGAACTTCCTTTAAATTGCAAAAAGAACAATAACTGATGTTAGAATAGAATTTCTTGAGGATATTTCTGTATACTTTATGTTAAGTTCAGTGATGTCTGGAATCTGATAAGAATTTAATAAAATATAATTGACATAGTGCTATTCATTCTGTAATCTAATTACGTCATTTTGTTTATAATGATAGTTGGCTTGTTTCATTATGAACACTGAGTCAGTTTGTTTTATTACTTTGTTAAAAGCTATTGGATTTTATAAAAGCATCAATACAGTAATAATTATTGAGTGCTATAATTTAGGGAGGAATGAATGAGCACATTTTGGTTTTGCCCTCATGTTCATTAATTGGAACTAAGTGACAGGATAATCACAGATTTTCTTTTGTTATTGGATATTCCATCCACTAGCAACTTTTCTGAACACGTATCTAAATTTATGCTTCAAAGACTTAAAAGCTTGACTTAGTGCTAACTAGAATATTCCGTTGTCCTTTCCACCTGTAACTCACAACATTTGGATGTAGATTTTTCATTATTCCAGGCAGGTATGAGTTTAAAGCAAGTATGAGTCTTCCGGTTCAAGATGCTGTTGAAATGTTCATTGTTGCCTTTTAAAGGCTGTAGAACAACACCTACTGTTTTTTTCCACTGCATAGAGTCCATTGTTTCACAACCAGAAAGGTCATCACTGCCATCCACAGTGAAGACATGAAGTCACTGCATGTGTGCTATTTGGTACAGAATTTAATCATATTTATTTGTAGAAAAACAAAGAAACCAACAACAGCAACAAAAAAAACCAACAACCAATGATGTAGCATTGAAAAGACATCTATATGCTTAGTTACTAATGAGTTACTTTTAGTAAAAGGAAAAATCCATACAACTACATAAACACTAGCAAAGATAACATGGGACATAAGCTAATATCTCATATAAGAGCAATTACAAAGTAACTTACCATTTTGTTCTCTCTGGACTCCAGCAGCAAGCAAATCTGGTTCTCCAAGACTTATATCATTAAGCCTGGTTCCTAGACACTCCATGCAAAGATGTTTGCACCATTCTTCTGCCTCTAGTTCTGGAAAGATAATAAAAATATTTAAGATATAATGTTGACAGTTTACTCAAAAATGGCAAAAAATCACTACCTTCTCACAAACTACTTGGAGTTATTAGCATGAAGTTCCACATCTCTTTCTTAATCGTGATTTAGAAACCTATGTAAGAGTTTAGAATATTAGGACTAAATTTCTCATTTTCGAATTTGGGGATAGGATGTGAAGTTAACATAAAAGAGAAAGAATAAGTGAATTTTCAAAGCAGCATCTTTCTAGAAAGCTTGCTTGAAATATAGTATGATTTAGAAAAACTTGAGATTATAATATCTGAACTAGCATTTGCTGCTCTTTAGCTAAATCTGAACTATTGAAAGACCTTTTTTAAAAAGGGTCTAGAGTATTCTTCTAGGACCTAAGGAAATGACTGCAATCGGAAGCTCTTCAAAAACAATTTTTCAATCTTTGCTGTACAGAATGCCTATGCCTGTCAAGTTAGACAGAACAAGGAATTTTTTCAGTTCAGCTCAACTACTTCTGGTCATGTAACAACTTGTTCATTAGTTGGAACTTTTATATAAAAATTCAAATTTTCCTTTCTGAGTCTTCCTTGCATCCCAATGATCTACATCTGAGTGCTCGCTATCTGCCAGTCTACTGAAATGTGAACTCTCCCTGAGACATTACAATAGCTCCTCTGCACACCCAGCCTCATGCTATCCACTCTCAAATTTGATGTCACAAAATCTCTGGCACTGGCCAAACAAATGTCTCAAACTGGCATTCACACAGTGTGAAACCACAGTTAACAAGAATTACACATATAAGCTGACTGCCTTTTATTACGGAGCAGGCTTCACCTAAGGGAAACCTTCTGGAGAGCAGGCTGGGCACAAGGCCCAGAATGAACACCCACTGTCATAGTCTATGTCTGATTATCCTTAAGACTGGTTGACTTCATGTAAGAGATTATTCTTTAACATCATTGTCTCAAAGCTTGCTGGGGACACAGAAGAACAAGTCCAAGCAAGTCCTGTGCAAGGGTTGTGAAACCCTTTGTCAGAGGGACACAGATGGACAAGGCCAGGGGCAATGAGAGAGAGATAAGCCACAGCTTAATGGCCATGAAGCGGCCTTTTATGTGGGCTTATTTCAAGGAAGATGGCCATCTCAGGAGGTGCTGCATATGACTTACCCAAGCACCCAAGAATGCCATGCTAGCAGAAGGATAAAAATGGGACCTACAACCATGAGGTTGAGGTTTTCTGGCAACAGATTCCACATGAAGAAGAAGAGGCTTCTGCCATGAAAAACCTCACGACCTGCCTCTCTCCCTCCTGGATTTGCTCTGTGCTTTACCAGCATGCTGAAGAAGAACAAAGGTGTCTGCCACCAGATTCCTCACTACGGAATTCCTGCATACTGATGGACTCTCCTGGGCCTGCTGCCTGAGTCCTGCTGCTTCCTCCCGCATTGGCTCTGTGACTTCTTCCTGCTACCTGCTTGCTGCCCAAGGCCAGCCACGCTGCTGCTGCTCTCCTGCTGCTCTCCTGCTGCTTCTGCCTCAGACCTTCGAAACGCCGTGCAGTGGGACCACTGCTGGATCCTGGTGCTGACTATCCCCACTTTATGCAATTCTTGCTTCTTTCCTATCTTTTCCATTACCCTCCTTCCCTTCCCCATCTCCCTGATTAGGATTTATTATAAACTGGTTGGACCAACATTTGAACCATTGTTTCTTAATCTCATGCCAAGTGTGTTATATTAAGAGAACCTCCCCTCCCTCCCTATAAAATGGAGCAAGACACTTCAGTCATCTAGAAATGTTTCAATTAAAATGCCATGCTTTTTTTTTTTTTTTTTTTTTTTTTTTGAAATTATTCCTATGTTTGGAGACATCTGGAAAATACTTTGGTGACAATATCTCCAATGCAGCACTGAAATTCGATCAGACACAAAAACCAACAGTGCATGCATTCCTTGAAGCATCTGGTGATGATGACTCACAGTAAATAGCACAAATCTATATTGAAGCAAAATCTTTCCATGTCTAATTGCTACAATCTTTGAATCATTGCCTGGCTAGGCAAGGGCAGAAACCTCTGCAGAAAAAGAAAGGGAAACAGGTCTTTCTTCCAGGTCCCCAGGACACATTTGGATAAACTGTTTTATTCTGGGCTGTGAGTAATCCAGACATTGATTGTTCCTAAATTATTTTGTCAGCTGATGGAGTTTCTTGACAGAAAGCTCAAATGACAGAGCCTGTTAGGAGAGTTTTGATACTAACATGGTTGCTGTCACAGAGACACAAAAAAAATTTAGGGGATTCTTCAGAGAACTGCAAGTCAAGAGACTTCCCCTAGCCCTTACTGATTTTTTCGCAGTCTTTAGCATCCAGATTCTCAAAGTTTGTCTTCTAATAATATCCTCACCTTCTTGTAGGAAGAGACAGAACTTTCTTTCGGTAACCTCAAGATAACATTTACTTTTGTATATAAGATGAAAATATTGAGGTAGCAGCATACTGCTTCTTAATACTTTTAATAAAGGCACAGTCTTGATGGAAATATGGAAAGAGCAGGTATATTTCCGGACAATAAAAACTTAAGGATTTTAATAGGAATAAGATGAATTCATTTAAGAGCATAGCTCCAAAACTTATTTTCTGCTCATGCATGAAGAAATCTCCCTCCAGCTTTCTCTTCCTTCTTCCACCCTAGTTGTTTCCTTGCATATTCATGATGTCTGCTGAACCAGAGTTGTGCCTATAAATCACACCTTCCCATGGAGGGGGTTTCACAAGACACACTGCTGTATGCTGCCAGCACAGGGATAGGGCAGTGCACTGGCAAATGAGTAGGCCAAGTCCCCAGGAGAGGGCTTCTGCAGACTTGCCCTGGAACTCCAGCTGCAGATAAACAGTGGAGAATCAGTTCAGAAAGGCCAGTAGCACACAGGTACAAATCTAGTCTACTGCTCCTATGTTTCCTTCCCCCTCACATGTTCATTTTTGCCTAGATTGTATTACAGAACAATGAAAATGCTGTGAGGGTGAATAACTCCATAAAGAGCTTGCATTATTTCCTGAAGGATGACCGAAATAAAATGTTTTATATTTCTACATTTTTTTTCAATTTATATTTTATTTCATTGTGCCTGCACCCAGACTGAAAAGCTATACTTATGAAATGAGTAAACATATACAGAAGAAACTTTTCTAATTTTGGAAACATCTAAGGAGAAAGAGAAATGTATTGGCATTTCCATAAATTTCACTTAATATCAGTATATATTCATAATAGTACTCTCAAGTTAAAGCAGCAGGATCTGTTTACATACATTCTCACACCACAATTCCAGCAGATTTTTGGGAAATCAAGCTGTTTCTTGTGAACATTTTTCTATTTTCACCTTCCCAGTCCACTCTCCTCTCTGTAACAGCAACATCTGGATCTTGAAAGTTTGGATTCAGAACTTTCAGTACAGCCTTTCAGAGCGGCAGTTTTATTTAAGCTGCTATTTCTTCTTTGCAAGACACTGATGATAAGACCCAGATTAACCCATTTCCCACCTGTCACACAGAAGAAACTCTGTAACTGTAAGCGCTACAAGATTACGGCTGTACCTTGCAACATAGACTGTAACCTACACAGCACTGCTGCATAACTCAAAATTTGTATCTTACAACAACTGTCATCTTAATATGACAGAGAATACAGTTTCAATGCAGAACTGAAATATCTTCACAAAGAACTGTGAGGATTTGTGTATGCTGTCAGAAGCATCAACATTATCTACAAATGTGTTTGGAAAGTCAAGAGTACAAGGATACTGTGTGAGTTAGTTTCACCTAATGCATCCTGATAGCTATTGCTTACTTGCAAGGGATTTCCTTAGACCTTTTCCTTGTCTTACATTTGAAATCTTTGGATTGAAGCAGGTAAATTACATTTCAAAGCTAAAGTCGTATTTCTCCTTTCACTGTGCATATCTTTAACATAGCTCACCATTCATCTGTAGAAAGCCTGGAATGCTTTGTGTTTCTGGGTAACAAATGAAATATTACTTATGAATTTTAAAATAGTACATAACTTGATAAGCCAAAGTAGTAATCTTTAAGAATGACTGCTGCCACATCATTAAAGAGATATACCACTGTTAAGAAACTTATTTATTTTGATTATATGCATATATGGAAACATGAAATATTACAGTGGAATAAGGCAATACAAAACTAGCAGCAAAATTCTCTTTAATGCATATAGATTAAATTTACTGGTAGTAAATGCTGATTTTTTAGTGGTAACTGGTACTCGTCACACAAAAAAAAATAGTTTCTTTTTAAGATAACTGAATTCTTGGAGTGAATGATAGATTGTAAAGCATGTTTTCACAGCTATAAACAAAATCAGAATGATTGCATTTTCACCTTGCTCATAATTTATTTATATGATGCTGCTACACAAATGTCATGAGGTGTCACAAAATACACACTGATGGGATACCTGAATTAGGCACTGGTTATTGTACAAATATTTTCGGGAGCACAGCTTTAAACTTCTTATCTGTAAATACACACCTTGATACTGGCAATGCTTTCCTGAAATTTATCTGAGCTTCCAGGTTATGCCTAAAGATATATGTCATTTGTACATCTGTTCTCAGAGGGATAAACTGGTGTCATACATACTCCAGCCACTGACACTGTACATTTCAGTAAGCTATACCACAGGATGATGAATGCATTTGTTGATATAATATGATACAATCTCAATGATAAAATAATATCAGCAAATGGTGTTTGAAATATAAATTTGTAATAATTAAGAGCTTTTCCAGCACTTAAATTTTAAAACAGATCATGTTACAGAACATATTGTAAGGGATGGAAGTGGTTATATTAAGTATAAGCATAAGTACAAATATAAATTTATTCACCATCCTTAGATATCTTTCTTTGTATTTGCTAGAAGTGTGGCTATCTTCAGTCTCCTAACTTAGAAAGCCTTTTGTTTGAGGACTA